TGGTTTTGTTTTCTCGGGACTCTTGGGAAAACAAAACTAACTGGTTTCCCGAGGGACGTGACATTAAGAGTTTTGTTCTATTTCTAGATTTGTACTTCAACAGCAACAAAAGAATAAGTCGAATAACCGGAGCGAACCAAAACAGTCGACTTGGTACCTATAACAACACAAATTTAATTCTTAAAACCACTGAATGAATGTTTTACAAAGTACTTTCCTTATATTATCTGCATCGTTTTCTTCCACTAGCTGCTGTTTCTCTTCTGGGATGACTTTATAAATCGTTGCTTTTTAGCTTGAGGCTTCGTGTTTGTGTTCAAATTGTTGTGTTCATTCGCGAAAAAAAAAAACTGGCAGTGTTTTTCCCGCTTTCTGTCACACTACTTTCCACCATGCTTTGATCACGTGCTGTAATGTATCCCAAGCAGGGTACATTGCTTAATGTATCACGATCGGGATACATTTGATTTTAGTCAACGCCACGTGACCAAGAATCAGCCAATGGCAGTCCCTGTTTAGTTGAGTGAAAGTCTAGGAATATAATAATGTTACCCGAAGCAAAGCATAATTCTTGGTTTTCACATGACGTCACCAAAATTTGAACTAAGAAACTATCGCTTCTTCTGAGTTTCTACTTTCATGTGATATTAGAGCACCTTAAAACCTTAATACAAACAAATTTTAGGTTCAAAAGGGTTCTTTGTTTTGCGATACAGGACGCTTGAATTTCCAGGCTTTCGCGTGACGCGACATTTGGCTGGCGCCCGGGAAAGCTCTTAAGTGGGTTTAAAACATTACGGATTTTTGGAGATTTTGCTATCTAAACATTCCCTGTCTTAGAATAAATATTGCTTCAATCTTTATGAGTTCCTCAAGCGAAGAATTCACGCATAAGTGGGAAAACTCAAAAACAGTGTCTCTGTTGGTTTCCGGCGGCCATATTTGTGCCCAAACATGGCGTCTCCATACAAAGCTTTATAAATTTGGGTAAAACGTTGTTCCGAATATCTCGCATATGAACTATTGCATAGACCTGATTCTTGGCAAGGCTTTTTGTATATTTATCTTCTTTCATTTCCCAGATTCTACACTTTCTGTATTAAAAGGTTCCCATTTTTATTTCTGCTTTCTCACGTGAGTGAAAACCGAGAATACAAAAAAAGAAAACAAAATTTTAATCTTTCATGGAGTAACACTAATCAGCATTTCAGGAACCGTGCCCTGATCCATCAACGAGCTTTACTTTTGTAACACTACTCTAGCGTAGTTCATACCCAAACACATGGCACAACAACCGGCGTAGTATTACCCTTCTTGGGTGTTGCTACTGTGAGCAAATTCCTTCACGGATCCGAGGGCTAAGGGTACGAAAGGTCAGGGAAGAAAAGTTTTGTATTTCACTTTGAAAGGAAATTTGCTTTGTATTTTGAAGAGTCTTACGTGCTTCTGGTTAGTCAGTGAACTTTTCCGAGGCTATAAAGATGATTTTGGGCTATTCCAAGTTAAAGCCGATTCACAAGCCAACTTTTTTCCAAAGGAATCGGTGCAAACACTAATATAGTAAGATTATAATTAAAGCATATAAACTTAACACACACGGATAAAAGACGAGCCAAACAGATTGCTATCCTGTAAATCAGTCAAGCACGAAACGAAAACTAAAACCTAAACTTGCTACACTGAGTTTACTGATTAATTTTTGATTTTCTGTCGTTCTTAAAATGTTTTGGTTTTTGTTGCTTTTCAATGGAATTTTCTAGTAATCGATCCATTTAGAAAATAAGATAAACCTTTGGCAGAGACGAGGCCTTGGTTGATAAAGCAACTAATGATTAAGATTAACGCGACTATTTCCTTTTCTTTGGAGGATTGCTTCAACAGTATCCTCCAAGACGGACTATCAAACCAGTACAGTGGGAACACAAAGAAAGCACCAAAAAAAGCCCTCGGATCACAGGGAACGGTTTCAAAAAAAGCCACTTGATCAAAACGATGCCTTTTGCAACTGGGCCTCGATGTCATCATAGACAAAGAGTCTCTAATCAAAAATAGAGCGCCTAACCGCCAACGGCACACACGTGCAGAAAGGATTTTGCAGAAAGGCAAACAAAGTACTTATGCCAAAGCACACAAGTTGGTAAGATAATGAGAAAGTGAGCTCTTGATCGAATAAATTAGAGAATTATTAGTTATTGTTTTGAATCCAGTAATCTATCGATTTTCCATACGCTGTTACGGTCTTTTGCGCCACTCTCTGTTGACTATTCGCTTTCAATGTACCGCGAAAGTGAAAAAAGACATCATGTGAACATGGCACAATTTGAAAGAATCTGCACACGGAACAAATTACGAACAAGTGTTAAGCAGATCATACCTTCACAAGTTAGTACCAGGATGGCAACAAATACAACAGTGATTCTTGCTATATTCATGACTGTAGTGACCTCTGTAACAGTCGGGCGTCTACACGGAAAATTGAACATTTTGGTCCTTCTTATAACGATTTTTCTCTTATTTCAAGGTCACGTGACAGGAAGTTCATTTAACTCTATTCTGAGCCGTATGTTCATGTTTCTTCATTCTACTTGAGGGGGTGAGAGTTTCTAATGCGGTTTTATGGAACGACCTATCTGCGGAAACCAAGCAAGCATGTCACTAGCTTTAAAAATCGTTTCATGACATTAAACGCATCACGATGTTTTAGACCTTTTAGTGTATTTGCGCTCTGCTCCCATATTTTCAATTCTATTTTATTGAGCCACAGCTTGTCAGGGTTCTATCTAGGGTATAGACAACCTCGTTCCCAGGACCCAGGGTTCTCTCCTACCCGCTCCGTAGGGCGGGTAGGAGAGAACCCTGGGTCCTGGGAACGAGGCTGGGGTATAGATAAGGACATAGATTGGTATAGATGGTTTTCACAATGACGTCATCAAATTGTAAGGTCAAAATAGCGAGGTTTTACGTATTCTTATTTGCACTAGGTTGGAGAAAAACAAAACATAATCCTTGGTACAAGTTTCCATTCTCGTAGCATGTTTCATTTCGGAAACTATACAGCAATTTGAACTTCCGAGTTTTCACAGAGCGTAACACCAAAATAGTAATACTGTCTCGTTGAAAAAAAGTCTCTCCTCTTGATTTTCAACAGTATAACCACTTCGAGTATTAGAAGATATTTTTATGCGCACGTATGCTCGTTTCCGAGTGAAAAGAAAGAGTGAACTCCAGAAGTTTTTGCTGATTTCAGGAGGATGACATTTCGCAAGTAATATGGCTTGATTGTACAGCAGGGTGGAACGTGTTCGCGAAGTCGATTAAATTGTAAACTTCTTTCATTGAAATGTTCCACAGTGAAAAGATGTCCTCAATAAATCTCTTCCAGACCAAAGGTTTAAAGGGGCTAGCCATTAGCAGTCGTTTTTCTAAGTCCCGGGTTCTAAGTCTGCCAAAAAAATAACAGAGAATGCAACTGCTGTCTTATTTCCCACACAGGTAACCCAGGCTGACTGTTTGTGTCATGTACGGGTCTAAAAACACGAGTAAATATAGAGAACATATGGGGCGAAGTTTATATCTGGAAATTTGCTGGAAAATGGAAATAAAAATCGGTGAAACTTAACATGTGGCGAGTTGTTGTTTTCCTTAATATGTACCAGACTATTTTTCCCGAAAGTTGGTGTATATATTAAGGACAACAACAACTCGCGACATGGTAAGTTTCATCGATTTTCATTTCCATTTTCTGGCACATTTCCAGACCTAAACTTCACCCCATATGTTCTCTGTATTTACTCGTGTCTTGAAACCCGTACATGACACAAACAGTGAGCCTGGGTTACCTGTGGTTCCCATAGCGACGCAGGGTGTTTGTGTGAAGTATCTTTCGTTGAACTTGAAAGACCGTAAATCAATTGTTGGAATTGGTAAGTTATGCTCATAGTGATCTTCGTAGTGACGCCAAATAACCTCAATCCCTTCGTTCTGTTTGAGGGATGTTTGTGTTAAGGGAACTAACATCCAGAGTGACTAAAACCACATGGTCGGGGATTTGTGTGTCTTCATCAATAAAGTTGATGAAATCGGGAGTGTCCTATATATGGTATAAATTTAAGACCTCTAGAAAGAAGTGTAACCTCATTGTAAGAGCGAACTTTATTGGAGAAATTTTTAAGATGTATATTTCTCGTTTTGTGCTCTTGTGTTGTACGTTAAAGAGGTTTTGAGGCTGTTGCGTCTATAATAGCGTTTCTTATTAATCCGACCCTTTTTAATTCATCGACTTTTTCTGAAAACCTTTGAGTCAAGAAAAGACACACCAGTATGATGTTCAACTTTTTTATTTAAATTGACTGTCAGTCAGTTCCTTGCCAATTACCGTAAATCCTCTAATACGGTATGCCTCCCTCTAACTAAGCCTCCTTCCTGTAATATGCCCTCTTTTCAGGGTAGGTAAGTTAATAAGGCCCCCCTCTATGAAGTCCCCCCCGCCCCTAGTCCTCTAATTAATTTTCACTAATTAATGATGTACTGAATTAATCACTCGCAACTTCAGGCGTTTTCTTCGGACGCGCGAATGTTTCCTGGCGAAAGCGCATGTAAGCAGCTTTCGCCCCCCCCAAAATACTTAAAAAAATACTTAAAACTTCGAGTGGACTGATCAGTACGGGGTGTTTTTTAGTTCGAAATTGGCTGTCTAGAGACCGAGTACAAGCACGTTTTATCAAATCCAGACAGATATATAAACATGTCGTTGGCGACTAACATTACGGCCAGAAAATAACATACACCAGGAGCCATTTTTTTCTGAAATTTGCTTTTGTTAGGAAGCCGACCGTAACTCGGCATCCCTCCAAGAGCTCCAGTTGACAAGTGTACCTTTTTATCCTGCGCAAACCCCTGCAAAATATAACATTCTCGCGAAAAAGCGAAAGAACGCTTCTAAAGTTTAAAATTCCTTTTTCTATCAAACCCCGGCCACGCAGATCGTCCGACCAGCAGTAAGAAGGTTCATTTTTTCAGAATACGATGATGCTATGATGAAAAATGACTGCGGGGAATCACTACATATGCGATGTTTCGTGTAGTACTGCACGAGGAAGTTACGGGCGCGCTGCGCGTGCAAAAGGATACTTTGTTAAGTCACAATCATCTTGTTTTTAACTGTAAGACGATTCGAGCTCTGTTGTTGCGCAAAATGTGGAAAAGCACATCTTCTTTCGTCGCAGTTTTTAGGCTGCTGTTTTTAATCGTTATTTGTGAAGGTAAGGCGTCTATTTGCAGCGGCAACTGTTTCTCTAGGAAATTTTCTTGGTTTGCATAGTAGCAAAATAGTTTGTTTGCCTTAAAATCAACCTTCCTTTCTTCATGGTGCCGTGCTAAAGAAGACAGAATCATAAATCAAAACCGATTGAAAGTTTGTTCTTCGGCCAATCACAACGCACAAAATCACCTAATGCAACAAAATAAGTATACAATGTATGTAGTGGCCGAGGACACCAAGCGGGGGAACTGCGTTCGAACAAGTCACGAAGGTTTTTGTTTACTCCTGATTGGCTATAAACACGAACAAATTTGTTAGCCAATCATACCCTAAACTGAACACAAAAGCAGGCTTTCAAGCTTACGCAGGGAAACGGAAATAAACCTTTCTCTCACGTTTTAAACCTCTTTACAGAAACCTTACGTATTCAATGTTAGAAGTCAAACTCAGGTTTTAAAAAAGTAATTAGAGCTTCAAGCTTATGCTGTGCAAACTGTTATCGCTTCGTTTAGTGACCCAACAAATTTTCCATTTATTGCAGGGGAGCTGCAGGTTTTGCCAGTAAAGAATCACGCATCTTTGTGTATAGGGGATTCCGTATCTCTTGAAGTAGAAATTACTGGCGCTCAAGGGCAACCAAATGTACAATGGTCTCATGGACAAAGTCTTTTGGACGACAGCGAGCATTATTCCTCAAATTCTATTGGGACAGTTCTGGATATAAGCAATGCTTTGCCTCTGCATGCTGGGACATACTATGCTATGGTTACAGACGGAGTTTCTTCTGAACATGCGATTTTTAACGTGGAAGTTCATGGTAATAAAAACAACTTCTTATCTTCCCTAAAAGTTTTTAAAAAGTTTTGCTATGCCGTAACACCTACAAAGTACGCACAATTTCTTTTTTTGTTTTTCGCTCTTTTGCTTCGTTAATTGAGTTCAACAAAAATTAATACCCAACATTTAAAATTCCGCCAGAAACAAAAAGTTTCGAATAGGTCTACTATTAGTTAACTAAAGGAATTGTAATAATCAGAAAATTGTTTCATTTATAAGAACTGCATGGCAAAGCATTGCTAGCACCTTTCTCTTTGAACAAAATAATAGAATTTTAAAGGAGAATATTTTGACGAGAATCAGATGTCCACAACGTTGATAGCCTGTACACAGACGTTGTTTGTTTTTCTTTTCGACATTCAGCGAGCGTGGAGCACGAGAACGAACGTCTGTTTTTTTGTCTTCTTTCCCAACTCCCATCCCATTGAGCTTGAGGTCAATAAATCCCCCTCGGCTTAATATTATTATGCTCGTTCGACGATCTCCTCAGAGCAAATTGAGGGTCTGTGAACAGGCTACAACTTTAAACGCCCATAAGTAAACGCTTATAGATAACCTGCGAGTAAGCTCGTCATTGTCAAGTCTCCTTTCGTGTGTTGCTTACGCGTGACTTCATGAAAAGCTTGCTTACAGCCGGGCTAACTTACTGCGCAGACGATGGACGCGATGAAATGATAAGCTCCCGTTAGGAGGCAATGAGTTGCTATTCTGTATCTTAGTGTAACTATCAAAATCTTCTTTTAGATACCTACCTTCGCACTTTGATCAAGAGTCCTTTAATAATTCAACTTGGTGGCACAGGCGTGTTAAAGGTCGAAAAATCCGATGGCGGAATTTTATGGTGGATACACCAGGGAGACATTGTAAGAGGACAGAACAGCCACTACAAGTTCTTGGACACCTTGGGATCAACAGGGACCGAGTTAGAAATTTCCAACGCTGGCGTAGAGCAAGCTGGATTTTATGAGGTGGTGTTGAAAGAAGCGGGTTGCGAAATACGAAACGTGTTTGATGTGCAGATAGAGGGTGAGTAGTATGAACCAGGTGGGGGATCTTGAAGGGGGAGATCCGAGGGTGCAAGGTTCCTCCATGTAGCTTGTTATATATGGTGTAAATAATAATAAGCATTTTTGAATTATCTGAAAAACGTTGATGTGCCAGCTGGTATAAGACTCCAAATGAAAAAATTGTCTATTGTCTACTTTAGGCCAAACTAAGGTCACTAGCACAGTCTAGCCAAAACAAAACCTTATACCACAATCCCTAGTCTAGATAAAATCTTCAACCAACTGATCAGTTTTCTGAAAAATGATACCCTATTCTAGACCCAAACGCTCTGATTTATATACCCTATCTTAGAGTAAACTGCTAAAAAACCATACCCTTTACAGCGGCACATACCTATATAGCCCATATATGGCAGTACCCTCCCCCGGAGCCAAACTGAAGCTGAGCCCTTCCTCCGCCTCTTAGGCTATGTTCACACTATAACGTCGTTCTTACACAACATGGAAGGTTGGACGGAATAGTCATCGATCAATCCTGAATATTTACTTCCCTTCGAGGGGATTCCAGTTCTTCCCCCTACTTATTCATTTCTGCTGCGGTCCGAATACCAGGTCAAACTTCACCGAGGTACCACAAAGAACCTTTCCGATATGTGATGCTCCCCTCGCGCCGAAATCAACGTTCTTATGTGTGAACAGACACGGTGGACAAACAGGACACCAAATGTGGCCACTTACGAACTACTTTTGCAGTGTTTATCTGTTTGAGCTCAAAGTTTGCCGGATGGTAGGACTTTGGATTCCAAACAGTCGTATGTTTTTTTGTTTTTCGATTTTAACGGTTTTTGGAGGGAAAATGACGTCACAAGATTGACAGAAAAATTTAAATTTTAACTAATGGCCTAACAAATTGAGCGTTTTCACTCACGTGACCACCATCAACTCAGTTCTTGGTTTGATACATCAACATGGCCACCGTTTTATTGTTTTGGAACACCAATATGGCTGCCGTGACGTTATGTGAAAATGCTCTATAGGTAATATTGAAAGAGCATTTCGAAATGCTATATCTCCTTAAGCAACTGAGTTTTTCAAATTTTCGCATTTGTTTCTATCCCTGCTTCAAAATTACCTATTTGTTGCGCCATCAGTTGAAATAAAATTTTGCTGTCAATCTTGTGACGTCATTTTTCCGCCAAAAACCGTACGATTGTTTGGAATACAAAGTTCAACAATCCTGGCGTCCTGTTTGCCCACAGTGAGAATTTTTCGTGTCAGCGCCAGAGTCAGCCGGTATAGTGGGAACATAGCTTTAGGGTCTGGATGAGTTGAAGATCTTGTTGAGCCGCCACTGCTAAAGGTTCAGTTTCTAATAAAAGTTGGCGTAGTATCAACGAGGGTGCGAAGCATAAATTCTGGCTTTATCAACTGAGTTGATAAAGTCAGTTTGCCTCCTCAACTCTTTAACGTCCAAGGCTGACGAACATCAGTTTTCTCCGAACAAAGGTATACAAGATCAAGAGAAAAATAAATAAATAAAAATAAATAAATAACGATTTGCAGGTAGCACATCCACATGGTGGTTCTTCGTCTACCTGATTCCTGGTCGAATTGGAATTTGGAAATGTTGGTTTTTTAGGAGAGGGGAAAACCGGAGTACCTGGAGAAAAACCTCTCGGAGCAAGGGAGAGAACCAACAACAAACTCAACCCACATATGGCGTCGACGCCGGGATTTGAACCCGGGCCACATTGGTGGGAGGCGAGTGCTCTCATCACTGCGCCACCCTTGCTTATGAGAATTGATAAAGGGTAGACCGCGAGCGGTTGTTCGTTCTTCTTTCTTTAGAGCCACACGCGGCGAGAAAAAAAGTAAAATTTTGCAAACTAATGGTAAAAAGGAGAAGAGATTGAGGCGGAGGGAGGAAAAGGATTTCCTGTATCAGGCCTGTACCCTCGTTCCTCACTCGCCCCTCGGGTGTACTCAAAGTAATAATAGGAGACAAGAGAGGATAAAGGGGACAGAGAAGGAATCCCCTTTACAAACCCTATTCCATAAGTATTTCGTCTCGAGTTATTTTTAAGACCACAGATCCCAAGGGGGATTAGACAACAGCCAATCACATAGCGCGAATGTGTTCCGCGTGGATGACCCACTCTCAGAGCCACGCGTCCTTCACGAAGTGACGCAGAACAAAATGGCGGAGAGCGATATTGCTATTGCTATTCGTTGTGTTGACGAAAACGACTACAGAAAGATTTCTGCTAAAGCTGTGTCGGCGAAAGGGAAATTAAAAAAGAATCGCCCTTCCTCTCTTGTATAGAGCTAACATTACGGCAGGGAAATCCTTAACACACTGAATATTCTCTCAGGATCATTTATAATTTGCAGTTTGAAGAGAGCAATTTCTGGTTGATATTTATTCTTTTATTAGTCTTTTATTATTCAACAAAAATAACACTTGGCGTCCTACTTGCGTTTTTAGGCTGATTTAGCAACAGAACGGGAACGTCAGTTGACGACGGCGCGCGCAAATCAAACAACTGGCTTGACCAATGGCAGAGCGGCAAATTGGGCACCGGAAGTCGTGTTTAGTGCTTTCCGCGCGCTTTCCCGTCGTCAAATGACGTTCCCGTTCTGTTGCTAAATCAGCCTGTTGTACCAACGACCGGTTTCAATAGACCAGTGAAATTTCTCATTTTATTAAAGCACTGAGGTTACGACAACTTCGAGTTAAACTAATTTCGCGGATTGTCAAAGAGTCCATTGATTCCCTTTTCCCAGGTGAGCGCCGGTTCATTTCGCTTCAATATTCAGGAATGCTCTCAATGCTTTTCTCCCGACATGTTTTCCACGGCGTTTAGTCATGCGAAACCTCCAGGAAACATCTACGCAGAGCGCGAGGTAACTTTATCCCGATTCTAAAAATAACTCGAGACGAATTACCTATGAAATAGGGTGTGTATGGGGAATGCCTTCTCTGTCTCCTTTATCCTCTCTTGTAGGAGATTATTTGTTCGCAGTTTGGTCATAAGGGAAATGCTTTGATCTATTTAATTAAAATCTTAACTACATGAAGTTAAATTGATGAGGTTAGTCTCGAAAATTTGTATGTGGATATCGCTGCTTAGTGGTTTAACAGATTCATGATCAAAAGCTGACGTTTTGGACGCTGATTCTTTTCTCAGAGAGATTAAAAAATACGGTGGGTGGTATTGTTGTATTGAAAACTGCATGGACAAGTGCCGGTTTGGGTAATTTTTTACTATCATGTGCTGAGCCTAATAATAAACCCTCTTTGAGAGAACCTGGGACGAAAAACTGCGTTGCGCAAACTAGCTCAAACTATTAGAGAATAGCAGTGAAATTCTTAAACGTCTTCATCTGAAAAGGCTACCTGTTTCCATCCATGTTCCGCAAATGCTTTTGCATGTTGTTGAGAATGTTTCTGCGCGAGTACTCAGCTATTTATAACCACAGTACATAGGACTTTTAAAATGATATTAGCCACGACGCAAAGTCACAAAAGTGTAAATCGGGCTCATTTTGCTCGTTTGGTTATAAGCATTTAGGTCGGATATGATTAATTGGGAACTTGCAGTGATGCAGCAAAATGATTACTAAATAATGGCGTTGTAATTATTTTAGTGCCAGAGGAAGAGGAAGAGGAAGAAATTTCAGTGGCTTCAAATACGACAGGTGAGAAACTTGTTACGGCACCTTCCATCATTCCCGGGGGGTACTCCCTATGATAGCCTATACGTGGAGGCTCCGCCCGAAAGGGGTATCTTTTTCAGGCCTCAGGTACATGAAAGGATAAGGAAATCTGTCATTTGGGTGTGTGTAGGAGCTAACAGATGAGTTTTATGGCTTTATAAAGTCGAGAAAACGTTCTATTTTTGTGATTGATTCATGTAACAGCGGGTTAAAGCGGATGCAAAGTTCTAAACAAGGTACTTGAAAGGGGTATCATTTGTCAATAGAAGGTATGCGAAAGGGGTACCTTTTTCGTGAAAAATGGTAAATAAATAGCTGAATAGCTGCAATAGAACTATCCGGCGGAGCCTCCCCTCATTTCCCTAGAGGTTTGTGAAATAGTTGATAACCAATGGGTTAAGAAACCATTATACAGTGACTGCTGAGCAGTCTGCAATAGCGGAACTACAAAAAGGGGCGGATAAACAAACTCCCTAACTTGTACACCAATTCCAAGGGCAAGCATCACCTTGCAAGATCAGCTTCGTTTCGTTTTAAACTTAAACTGACTGAAGGTCTTTATCTGCCAGTGATATGAAGACTTTTTACCTATTATCAGCCTGGTCTGTGTGTGTTCCATCTGGAGAGGATAAAGGTCCATCAAGTCGATGACCTTTAAAGTTCACTTATTAAACACTTTATACATTGTGTCAAGTCTTGCTTTGTTGCATGTTACTCTTCTCTGTATGACAGCTTAAACAATTCAACCTTCACTGCTTCATATAGACACTGTTTTCCAAGTGGGAACTCAAGGAGTCGACACTAGTTGACAAGTGAGCCTATCTCTGCCACTTCTTCAATTCTCCTTCTACGATGTACTATTTGTTCTCTTACCCTAGACGAATTTATCGTCAATAGAAATCTGTTAATAATAATTAATCGAATAACCAGTTTCGTCCTTTCTTTCACGAAACCGGTAGCATGCTACTCTACCTTAAAAAAAGACAATAGTTTTTTTATATTTTTCATTTCAGAGCCTGTCAAGTTATGGGGTATTATTGACTACAAATACCTTAAGGTATTCAGCGGGGATTTTACTGGCGAATGGTACGTTGTACCAAGTGTCTTGGGTCCCATTGTCATTTTACTTCTGGTGTTTATTGTTTGCCTGATTAGAAGGGCAGCAACTAAAAAGTGGTAAGTTGACATACTTTCTGAAAGCAGCAGGTAATGCCGTGTTCTTTCCACGCATGTTCAGAAATGTAGGAAAACTCGGAACTCAGTTACTTCATACAATACACACCAATTATTATTTGCAATTTCCATATGACTTCATGTAGACAGAATTGTTTACGTTTAAGTGAGGATTGGGGCTAGGGGACACTTCATGATGTTTATCATAAGGACGATGAATCCCATTCGGCCCCAAATTCTGGTCATACGCGTATCTGATGTCTTCAGATTGTCTCTTTCCGTCCAACACCACGTAATGACCAGACTTGTCATTCCAACTTTTTAAACTCTGAACGAAATCCTATGGTGTTACCGTCCAAATTAACGTTTGAAAATCACTTTTTAGTTCTTTGGATTGTACAAAAAGGAATTTGAATTTTTTTTGCGAATTTTTTCTTGCCAGCTATTAGGAGTGAAAGGGTTAAGGAGAGTGACGTCATTTGAGTAATGATAAAGATAATGCTACCCCTACAGGAGCCCTCAAAAGAAACTGTTTTCGTTGGATGACGAAAAAAACAAACGATTGTTTATCTCTGCTAAGAAGCAAACGTTTTTCCTTACACATTTAGCGCAAAAATTCGTATTATTTTGTGAAACAACATGATCGCTTTGTGATGTGACTGCTTGTGGTTTTGCACTGTTCGAAGGTCATTGTTTGCCTTACGCACTGTTCTATATTATAACTCGAGTGTAGTTTACAGAAAAACCTTTGTGAAAGTGCCCCTGAACGAGAGAGTTTACTTACTGTCCTGTACTTTGGTTACAGTCCCAAGAAAGAAAAAAGCGAAGTCAAGAAGGAGCCCAAAGTCACAACTCATGTGGTGATTGAAAAGCCTGTATACACAGTACAAAAACAGGTTATAGAGCCGGTGTACTATCCAACCACTGATCCAGTTTTCGATATTGCACCTGTTACGTCAAGTCATCCCCAGTCTTCCAGCCTGGGTGCATACGGTGATATGTCCATGTATGGTAATGGAATGTCTACTTATGGTACCATGCTTGGATCACCTGTGCCACCACCAACGCAAGAATTAAACAGAACTTACAGCGCCTCGAGCGATCTTGAATTTTTAAGTGATGATGGCGATGACTAGATTCGCAACTTGTACGTAGGACTAATAGTCATCGTTAAACATTTGTCATTCTTGAAATATTCTGGTGTATTGTTCAGTTTGGAAAGAAATAAACAGACAGGCAAAGTTTGGGGTTGAATTTTACCTCCATTTTCTTTCCTGGGCGGGTCCTCATAGTTGCTAAAAATCTGTCTGCTTAGTATTAGTTTGTAAAATTTGATTCCAGAGATATGAGATATTATTCGAATTTTCATTTTTAAAACCCTTTTTAGTAATACTTTCATGGCGATGTATGTCCTCTCATCCTTGAAAAGTCGTTATGACATCTTTAGCAAAAACTTTCATGCGACCTTTTATGAACTTCTCCATCATTCACTTTGCATCCGTAGCCCTGTTCTTAAGTCTATGTATATGAAATCTTCATGTGCCATAATCTCAAATCGATTTAAAAGGAGACTCCTCCACATATGTTCAATTTGTTAACTGAATCCCATAAATGATGTTTAAATACATGACATCCAAAAAATTGGAAAACAAATAAGTAGAATTATTTTTTTATTTTCAAGCCGATTTTACATCTACGCACCTAACTGTTGTGTGCTGTCTTGCCGCTTATCAGTGGTTACGTCTATATAAAGTTACTGAATCACGCTGAATCACGCCACTACACTCCGAGTTTGATGGTGGATGCCGCCTAGGGAAGCCTCTTGCAGACTATACCACAGGGACGGGCTGGATCCCAACAGGAGAGGTCATTCCAGTAGCCATTAATTCCTGGGGCGGTTGGATGTTTAATCCACATGTTGCTGCATGGTTCACTGGCTTTTCCATTCGGTTCGCCTAGCCACCATTTCGTGTAATTCGGAACCGAATCGTCAGACCAGATATAGTGGCTTGTGACCCACTTAAGTCCGATCCAAACCTGTTTCAACGATGGCTCGTGTTGGTGGACCAGCTTTAATACAAATTCGTTTTCTTCGTTGCTGTTTATCTTTACCAGCTCTCCTCCCAGTCTTCTGCAGTACGCTTGGGCCTTGTGCCAAGTCTTAATGGCGCTACTCACAAGGTAACAATAACCACTTTTGAAATGCGTCCAGCCACTAGGACACGGGCCTTTTAGAGATGAAAAAAATGAAAAAGACGATACTTTTTTGTAAAAATCAAAAAACCTTACAGGGGGTGGACTTGAATTCAGATTAATTTTGCATGAATTTACTTACCAAATTTAAGCAATCTTTCAATATTTCGCAGGGTTTTCAGTAATGCGGGGCCATTAGCATCTCTCTTGGCATTATTGTCCGTATTAACTGTAAGAAAGAAGCCCCAGTCATTTTTTAAAAAATATTATAAAAAGAGATCTGAGGGGAATATATTAACAATTTTCGCACTAGGCTAGCGTCCTGCTGAACTAAACAAAAGATTCCTTGGCAAGATAGTTGCTTTTTGTCTTAGAATTGAAATACGAAATGAGATTGGTCGTTTTTATTCAGAATAAATTTCCCAGTCAAAATCACCCTTTTAGTGGAACATATTTTTAAAGACCTTGTGTCCGCGTAGTTTTTCCCGTCGATTTATATTTTAGTCTAATTGTCCCTTACCTCCCGGAGCAGACAAGTTAGCACGAAAACGTAGTGCGTATACCAGCTGGGACTCCCAAGTAAAGCTACAAGCCAAGTTATTTCATTGAATGAAGCTGAGTATCCTCATTTGAGCTTAATTTAAGCGTAAAAGTGATCCCAATCTTATAGAAGAACAATTTTACAATAACTTTAAAAAAGTTTTATCCTGACTCGTTCCTTTCTAGACCCGATTTGATCTGAGGTCTAGTGTGGTTACTGGGTCTCTCTCTTACAGTCCGCTCAAACGAAAAACACTCCACCTGGCAAATATATTCTATACCTTCTTGTTGTTAGTCGATACCGTTTGACGCATGAAAGTTTTTTTTCCGCCGGCATTTTTCTGATGGTTGATTCACTCTCATTTAAGAGAATAGCCAATCGTAGATGGAAGTTTAATTTTGTTGATACTTTTATGACAGTACTTTGAAAGAGTCCACTTCTAATCAGAACAGAAGTTTCAAGGACCCGAGGTTCAGATCTTTCAAAAAACGCACACGTGGTGAACTTTCACAGAAGCAGCCAGCCGCGCAACATTCGAACTGTTTAACTTTACCTGTGACCCAGAAAACCGCGAAGAGGAGCGGCAAAATAAAAGGCAATTTCATCTCAGTCAGCAGCTGTCTCACTACTGTGTGATGATCTCTAAAATCGCGTCTTGCTGCACGAGAGTTTCTCTCCGGCCGTCCTCAAAATGACTCTTAGAATATTTTTTTGAATCTATATTTTTACATCTCAGCTCCAAAACAAGCAAAAACAAGATCCACTGATCAACGCAAGCATGCGTGTGAAAAATAAGTAAACATAAACTTGTAAACGTATTAACTTATCAACTGCCCTCTTTCAACTTTTACTTTCAATGCTAGTGGGTAAATTCCTCTAACATTGAAAAAAAATACAAAAAGATAGCTAACTTTAAGTTTTAGTGACAAAATTGTTGTCGATGACGATTGCTCAATTTAATTCAATTTATTCACAAAAAGTGTGCATATTTAAATTTCCCTTAAATTTACAACGTATTACTCTATTTTACGTAGTAATAAACTTTTTCACCATAATACACCTGTTCGTTAAAAATGGTGGGTGGCAAGATCTAACGTTGTGCTCAAGATGTACTGATTCAAATATTTCCACTTAAATCTAGCTTTTTAAAAACAAGAGATAAAACTTATTTTTTTCCATACAATAGAGTGCATTGTTAGGTCTTATTAGGGAACTTCAAGATTCAACCGCTACCAGACCGTAACAAAAACAATAGGTTTAATGAGCAAAACAACAACTTTGCACGTGCAGCACACTTTTTTGTGAATTTCTTTGCCGTTTTTGCACGACTACAACGTGAAAATACCTCATTTCGCGTTTTATGGAGAACGTAAACAAGCCACGATGAAATTTTGTTACTCTTTCTGAACTTCGATATCGTCCCTTATTCAACGTCAGGAGGGCTTGCCTACATTTTACGAGGTGCATAGGCGTACGGGCCGGGGGGGCGAGGGGGGCTGCAGCCCCCCCAAATTTTGGGTAACTCAGATTTTTTGGGCAGCGAGAGAAAATTTGGGCAAAGCCAGTTTTTAAAGACGTCTCCATGTTTATTTAATTATTTTAAAGACCTGAATTTTAACCTGAAGTCGGCGTAATAATCCAGTTACATTACAGTGGTTGCCTAACATGTGATGAGTAATTTACATATTTGCAGTTTTTTTTGTTGGGCACTATACTGCACTGCACTAGCTGAAATGGGCTATTTCCAGTCGTGAATTGATTAAAATAAACTTTCGAATAACTTTCTAGAATCATCTCTACTCGAAGAACAGAGTATGGCAGATAGCATTTAGCAATGGGTATGAAAATGAAGAAGTGGCTGACTAATTCTCAGTTTGAATTACGAGAAGAATTTTAATTCTTTTAAAAAGTCTATCGAGCGGTTTAAAATTATTCGCTAATTTGTTAAAGTAGACCGAAATATTTACAAAACCACTAGTGTCTCGATACATACTAATCAAATCCTTCTTTCGATTCTAGCAATCAAGCAGAGCTATCTCCATGATCTTTCACACATATTTTTAAAAAGATTAAAACTACTATGAGGTGAAATTGCAGGTCAAAAGCGCTTCGTTTTCTACAGATAACGGCCAAAAATCAAGATTTTCCTGTTCTTACCGTATTTCTAATAATAAAAACTTCATTCCAAAATATCTCGATAAGGTTTTGCTTAAACTTCACGAACATCGAGGCGACCGTATTGGAGTAAAAAGCTCCCGTGAACGATTTTGTGAGGTTCCTGTGCCGGGAATCATTGCTGAAGTAAAATAGGTAATGGGCGGGGGGAGTCATTTCGTTGCTATGACAACTCCGATGTCATTGCAACTCTGATGATGACAAATTTTCATCTTAATACAACTGTGGTCGCAATTTTTCCAAATGTTTGTTTATGGCGACGTAGTTTATGTTCAGACTTGGTATTGACCCTGAAAAACCGTATCGTCGAGCCACCTTCATATGCCAGGACGGCCTATGTTGTTGCAATATGGCCCTCATTTCTTTTCGACTCTTTCGGAAAAATTTGAGCAACTTGCGAGATTTTTTTGGGCAAATGGTTTACCGCCCCCCCCCCCGGGCAAAAAATTTCCCGTACGCCTATGACGAGGTGAGTGGTTCGGAATAATCGCGATAAAGACTGAAAGATTTTTTAAGCAATGTTCTCGTTGTCGTAGCGTTGTTGGCTAATTACATGCAGTTAATTCTTGAATTAAATTCAGCACATGTGAAATTTGTATGTTGAATCAAATGGTGACGAGTGAAATTAGGGAATAATTTCACGCGCGTTTTGTCCAAATCCTTATAATTTCCCGAGCCTAAAGGCTCGGGAAATTATTAGGATTTGGACAAAACGTAAGTGAAATTATTCCCTAATTTCACGAGTATACCATTTGATTACCTATTAATATCATAGGTGACGAATTACGTTAGAAATCGAGGATTTTTGACTTGATCCTGATCCTATGATCCTGGATCGTATCGATCGATCGTGAACTCCACTCTCTCAAACGTTTTGAGCTAAAATTTGGCTTACGTTTTCAGAATTTTTCCACAAAATACCTCTAAGAATCCTTCTTGATGTGCTCTTTCGTGTGTTCAGGTTTTCTAAAGCGTCTTTTTATGCCCCGACATCTTCATTCATGACATTTTAAGACTTCCTCGCCATCTTGAAACGGAGACGTACGGCAGGTTGCCATGGCAATTTGGTAATTTCAAATGTGAAATTACAAATTAACGCTGAACTTTCGCGCCAAAATTAAGGAGTAATTCGTCACCTATGATATTAGACATTTGAACTGGGCCTAGTGAAAGGACTTCAGGGAAAACTCAGTAAGCACCATGTCCATAAGACTGCTCATTAAAGAGTATAGTATTCTTCAAACTGGGCTACTAGGTGTTCACTTGATTATCAGACAGGCCATCAAGCATAAACACAAGGATACACTGTATGAGAGAACAGAATTTGAAAACAAATTATAACTGTACACGGAAATTTCTACACCTCATTGTTATAATCCAAAGGTGAGGGATAACATGAGTCCATGTTCAAAATCTTCAAAATTTGTGTTCCAGAAAATATCCATACCCACTCTATGGAGCGTTATGCAAAATTCCAAAGGTAAGGGGGTCTCAGGCCAAGTACCTTACGAGCTGTGCTACGGAGGGACGCTACATAGCATCTGGCGTGCTGGCAAGGTATAAGCCAAGGAAAGAATAAGCATAAACTGGGATTTCCAGAGGGTTAGGGGCCAAAATTAAACCAAAATAGAAACTCAAGGTCTTTGGGAGGAATATGGATATTTTCTAGCACAACACAATCACACAAAACCCATACTATCTTCTCTTTAACATTCCAAAAGGTATCAGTGTTTGCAAATGTGAAATCCTATCTTAAATTAAGATATATATACTCGTTCAGTAGAAAATGTTAAAAGGGCTGAGCAATTTCCAAAATCTAATTAATTATAATAATAATTTACATGTTAGTGATATTTGGCCAAGAAGTACACAAGTTGATTACACAAATGTCAGCGATGCAAACAACCTCATAAATGCTAAACACCATTCCAGAAAAAACCTTATTAAAATGATGTTAAAATGATGTTATTTTAAAAAATTAATCCAAAATTATTTTTACAATCATTATCACAACAAATACAGCACATACCCCAAATATTTGTCGCACAACACTTGTTCCTGTAAAAATTTTACCAACATTTGAGAAATAAAAGCTGATCCACATGCACGCCACTGCTGCAAGCAAACCAACGATAATAAATTGATCAACCTTCCAACGGCTGAGGTTGGCATTATCAAAATTTGAAACAATGCTTAATGGCTTCATTTTGAAGTCATCTAACAGGTGCATAGCTTCCGTGCGTTCGTCAACACCATAGGGCTCTAAAACTTTTATATGGCTTATGAAATAGTGTTGCAAATATCCATCATAAATATGTTGCCTATAAGTTGTTATGATGTACAACAGTAACCCTCCAAGTGTTTTGTTATTATCAATGGTATACATATCAAAAGGAAGCTTTTCACCTCGCTCTGCAATCCATAAAATAATTGTCTTTAAATGATATGACTTGAGAGCTGGGTAGTTTTTCTTTTTTACTTGACTGAATTGCTTGACTGCAAATTTGATGACAGCATAACACAATTTTAATGCTCTCTTGTCAGAATGATGTTCAAATACCTTTGACTCTGCTTCTGAAAATGTCAGCCTCCAGTCAAAGTCATGTGATAAATGATGCAATGAACAATGTTTGTGAACTAGATAACAGCCTACTTTCCTGACACTGTTAATAAGCTGATAAGGGAAAATTTTTTGCACTCTTTCAAACCAATCACAGGCTATTCCTTCACTGTCGAAAATCTTGACTCCAAAGACAACGTCACTGTCAAATCTGAACTTGCCTCGAGGGCCATCCAACATTGATTTGAATGTTATGGCAGGGTAGTTGTACTCGATGTCCCTTCCTGCAAATTCTTTTCCTATCTTTTCTCAAATCAATCTCCCAGAAAGTAAAGCTTGAGACCCAGATTTGACAATACAGTCCTGCAGAAATGCATCATATGTCGATTCTTTCATTATGATTTTACAATATCCAGGAGATTTAGGAATAATATTATCCAAGCTTATGAGTAGTGGCTTGTAAAATACATTGATATCCACATCTTGAACAAGGGAAGTATTTGACCAAGGAAATATCCCAAAATTTGTGCTTGGTAAAGGAAAAAATCCAAAACCATGATCTGCTGCACTTCCAACAAGTTGATAATGCCATTTGACTGTATCATTTGGTAGCAGTGATTTGGTGTCGTCAGATGGCAATCTACAGAAATTCAGGTATCTTGATGTCTTTCTAAGGTGCCAATTGACCAACCACTGTCCACCAAAGTAGCGAAATACTGCAAATACTAATACTGGAGTGACAACTGTGACTGGGGTTGCAATAACAAGTACTAAATACAAGTTCACTCCTTCAAATATGGGAAAGTAATGGTCATATGCAATCACTGCCGTAAAAGGAGGAACAAAAAAGATCAAGAAGTACTTTCCATAATCTAATATTGATGGTGTATGCACTGCTGATCTGTGTAGGCCAGCTACTATATCTGTAAATACTGTCAGGAGATGGGCTACTAGTTCTTCAATCATCTTCAAGGAACTCTAAATCTACACATACCCATCTACCTGAAAAAAGGAATATCTATATTTACCACTTGATTAAAATCATAACTATAAGAAAAGTCTCCAATGTGATTGGTTATTGGCAGCTCTGGTTTTAGTATTAATAGGACAGTGTAAGAGGACAATAGCCCGACAGTACATGTCATGCCTATTGAGTAAGTAATTGGACAGTATGCCCCACTATGAGCAATGCTTTCAGACAGTTTCTCATGAATGAGTTCTTTTTTCCCTCATTTCTTACAAAAAGCCGAGATCTTGCCGGTTTTAATTTAACGGTTTTTTTCTGTAATGATTTATTGGAAACAAAACTTCATGTGATCCAATTCTGTCTATACCAGTAAATCACAAGGCGAGAGTCCAATCTTGCTATGTGGTTGTCTATAATATGTTAATCAATATAATGGACTCCACTTAGCTTATGAATAAGAGTCAATCATTAAAAAATATGTAAGAGAAAATTTGACATTAACAAAACAACAAGCTTACTAAGGAAAACTTCGCCTTATCAACTGAAAAGTGATTAACTGTCAAACATCAATAACTGATGAGTCAGTCATTTATTGGCCCCATGTACTGAATACAGACGTGACAGCTACCGAGTTAATCGTCCCTGTTTTAAATAAAAATTTCGCCATTAATTAGTTGCAAATTTTCCCTCCCCATAACAGTTAGTGGTAAACTTCGCGTTTTTCTGAAAATTTGCATTTGTCTGATTACCGGTTTTTTATGCATGACTGTAGTGTATGTGCGTATGGCCTTGGTCTTCACTGCACCTAAACACGACTTACCCAACTGCAAAAGAGGCATGAGAGATGGCATGCATGGCTTAAAGCGAAATTATTATAATAACTGAAAAAGGGGAATGCAATGTTTTCTCTCACCTGAACGACGCTCGAGAAATTTTCGGTATATTCCGTACATTATAGTTCCCCATACATGAGGTACCTACCTACTCAGGAGAAAGGCGACCGCTGATAAGTTTCCCTTCACGAAGGGAAAACCGGGAGGGTGGGGAGCTAAACAAGATTTTATACGGGGAGGCTCCGCTGCGAGGTCCAACCACTTACTCGTTTTTATACTATTTTTGGTAGAAAAGATGCCCCTTTTTGTATAAAGGATTAAATTAACTGCAAAAACCGTGGACGAAGATCCTGCTAGTTGTAAACGTTGGATCCCTTTTTGTATACCCATTGTTGACAAATGGTAGCCCTTTCATATTCTTGTTCAGAAATCTCTATCCCTTTAAGTTAAAGTTTTCTCGCAATGACAGATTTCATTACTCTCTCATTTACTTCAACAAGGGAAATTCCTACCTTTTCATCTACCTGAAATTTGAAAAAGGTACCCCTTTCGGGCGGAGCCTCCCCGTATAGGATATTAAAGGGTGTACCCCACGGGGAAAAAGTCCTTTTTTATATCCTCTCGCGGCGATACGCGGAGAAGACGAGAAGGAGAACGACTCCCCCAAATTTTGTTGGAGGGGAGGGGGCGGCTCTACACAGGCTACGATCGACGATTACGTGGGGATGCATTATTTACTTTTCCAGTGTCCCTGGTTTATATAAAAATGCATAGAAGATCATTGCAATTACAGATGCATCTTAGACAAATGCGAAAAGAAAGCCAACAGATTTCACTCATGATTTATTGTCATTGTAAGCTTTTCTACAAACTAAAAGAATAAAACAGCACACGTGCTCAAAGTGTTCAGGGCCTTCTTCACAGGAAAAAGTTGAATGTTCAGAGTATGTTATCTGACGAAACTGCTATTCGAGAAGCATTTCTTATGCGACCCGATATCTGTCACGTTTGCTCGTTTTCGTTTCTGTAAACACCGTGCCAAAGTCCTGCGGTCGATCTTTCTTGTTCACGCAAACTATAAGACATTTAGGAAGCGAAGATCAAAGTAAACATCGAGCCGGACGTTATTGTTCTGGAGTAAGAATCTCGCCTGCATAACAGGCACTTTATGAGCTAAGCAAGGCATTTCGCACGAGGTGCGAGGCGAGAGTATAGGGGCACTCAACGACTGCTTTCTTTAAAATACCTGTTCGGAGGGGCGAATATTGCCTAGAATTTTCTTTTACTTGAGAACGGCTAGAAAATGTTTAGATGAACGGTCCATTTACGTACAATTTTCGAAGCTCATCTAAAAAATTCCCTACAATTTTCCGAAGTTAAATTTTCGCATTTTACTTCCCAATTTAGGCTATTTTTAATAGAAAAAAGGAAACCTAAAATTTTCGGATTCAAAAATGTGATTGAGAGAGGAATTAGAAAAAGTCTCACTTTAGTAATACGTAAAATTTCATCTAAAATTTTTGGGAACTGAAAAATACTCAAGCCATTGTAATTTTGAAAAGACTCAATTTCCCCTAGGATGACCGAACAGATAAAGATTTTACAGCGCCGCTTAGAATGCTTTTCGAGAGAAATAAAAGTACTGTGGATAGCCTACAAAGTGTTTCACTGTATTTAGGAGGAAACCGTCGTCGGTTGCCCCTGAGAAGAGGAGGAAAATAAAGCGCCTGTTACCAGTTCATTGCTCTGGCTCTTCCGCCCACCAACGCCCACAAATATTGCCTGACGGTGGTCATGTCAAAAGAACCAATCAAAACTCGATCCATTATATCATTTGCGCGAAAATTGTCACCTTTCTAGCTACCAGAAACACCTACAGAAGAATAAAAAACAGGAAATAGTAACTCTATTAGTACATGAAACACCTCTAAATGTAAGACTCAGTGCAGCAAAAATAAGATTTGCTCAGTCAAAGGTAGGGCTTGTTTACATGGAGGGGGTGACCCGCTTAGGTGAGGTAACCCACCTGCCCTTATAATCAGTCTCATATGGTCACTCCACCTATCATGTAAACGCGATCAAATTAAAATAAGAGATTATATGGACAGGCGGGTTACCTCACCTACCTGGGGTACCCCACCTCCCTGTAAACAGGCCGTTATGTCCAAACACAGCGCCAGCAAAGAAAAGAGGGAAACTGGTTGTTCAAACAAACTCTAAGGTCACGTTTTATATTATCACGAGCTTAGGGACGGACCATTAGAAAAGTGATGGGGGGGAACCAAAAAAAACTTCAAGTAAGGGAAAATGTCCCGAAAAAGATTCATGCAAGGGACGGGCCCGCTATTTCACATTAAAACCGGAATGGTTCCCGCAGTGTGCCAGAGACTTTTCTAGCGCGGTTTCCGGTTTCTGTCATGTCTTTTTAGTGACACGCGCGAAAAGTGTTTTTTTCTCGCGGCTTCGCGGTCGGCCTCTGGCCGACACAGTCTGGGCCGACACCGAAGATTCCCGCCGCACGCGAGAAAAAAACTTCTGGTACCTAGGTTACCAGAATGACCATATCTTTTGGTGCGAGGGGAAAATCCTCAGCCTGAACTAGAGAAGAAATAACAAGTTTAGAAACTGATTAAAGTATATTAAGTTATGTGACTTTATGGTTTATAAACACAGCTGAGTTTTTAGCTCCCTTATTCTCGGAGGAGACAATAAAAAATTCAGAGATTTTTTGGGAATAGATCTACATTAGACGTTGTTGAAGCCGTTTACCAGCAGGTTGCAATGCTTTTCAAGTCTACAATAATCAGCTGTACCTAAATTAAACTTGGTAATAAAACATTATTGGCTGCACGCTCATTCAACTATACACTGAGTTCAATTATATGTTTAAATCAACCCTTTTTCATAACATACTCATGCAGTGGGACTTTTTGTGCTAGGAGTTAACGACATTCTGCAATATTGTCATATTTTCTTATGTTTTGATCATTTCTCATATTTAAAATGTTCATAAATCACTCGTCAGATAGAAATAACTAAAACTTATAGTCAGTAATATCACTATCTGGACACCAGCGGTCATCTTCTATCAAGACGTTGCACATAAATATGCTCTGTGAAAGACGTTAATACAAGGCCGTTTACACTGTGCTCTGACGGCCTTTGAGATCCAGGCTGCTCAGCATACGATTTTTATGAAAAAAAACTTAGATTCCCTGGTCACATAAGAGCAAACGTAAGACGCCATGCCGTCTGGGACAGCCGTTGTGTAAGGGGTATATCAATTAAGCATTTACGAATTCTTAAGTCAAAAACCACCTTTGCTAATGTGGACACTTCACTGTCAACCTTGTGCCGCAATAGACCCGTTCTAGTTCGAACGTCACAAAAATGTGCGGTAGTGTGACTTAACCATCATTTTGCGAATTATTTCCCGGAAGGTTTAAGCTTTAAGGCTATGATTGACTAGAAAGCACCTGCATTGGTGTAGACATCACATGGAAATCAAATGGAAAGAGCTGGCTGAAAGTTCTCATTTTTACTTTTAGTTCTTTTTTTCGTTTTATTTCATTTTTAGTTTTAGATTTTTTACGTTCTCATTTTTCATTTTCAGTTCTAAATTTTAGTTTTCCAAGAAGTTTCGTCTTTTACTATGAGGCATTTTGAAATCACTGGTGATCCCTGTAATCTGATTGGTTCTCACCAGTGTGATTTATTCACGAATCACACTTTTTTGCCATAAATCACATCTGTTCTAAATGGCCTCATTCATGTTCTAAAGAATATCATTTCTGTTTTAAATCGCACCATTTTTGCTCTCACATCGCATCATTTCGATCTGTCTCATAAAAAAATGAGATGTGAAGCCATTTTGTTTCCCCTTTTCAACGAGATCTGCTACTAGATCAATATTATAATTGTACTGACTGGATTCTGTGAATTTTTCGATTTCAAAATGGCTGTACTAAAGTGGTAATTGAATTTCGTGACGTGCAATTGTTGACTTGTGGTTTCAAATCGAGCTCGCCGCGTTGCGGCTTCGTCCAATTTTTAAATCACGGTATGATTTCAGATCAAATTGCACTCCACTCAGTTTAATTACTGTTATTAACCACTTCTGTGTATGAGTAGGATGAAAAAGTTCTGGTGACATTAATTTGTGTTAAAAAACGACAGTCTGACGTTCACACCGAGGAAAAGTTGACATCCATTTCGCTATAAGAGAAGTACTTGACCCAACCTAACTGTATCGTATTAAAAATTCACTTGATTATGCCAAGAGAGAATAATGTGACTATACTTAAAACTAAAGAAAAAACAAAAACTCGCTTTAATATTAGCTAGGTTGGTGAGCAAACTGAGATAACTGAAGTGAATAAATGATTAATAATTGAATGAATGGCATTGAGTTCATTTTAGCACCAGAAGAGGAGGAAAAGATTTCATTGGTGTCAAATGCGACAGATGAGATAGTTGATTGACTTATTTCACCGTTTCTTATCTGCTTATGAAAACTAAAATGGATGAGATAATCAGTCAAGGGATTAAGAAACCATCATGCAGTGATCTTTTAGCAGATGCAAATAATTCAATGGTGGAACTAGAGAAGCCATCCACGTTATTTAAACAGGGGCACCCAACGGCAATTTTCGGAAAATATCTGTTCGAAAGACGATTTAAGATCTAGAATTTTCGGAACATTTGTTGTAAAATTTCTTGCTTGCCTGCCTCTCCTAGGATTCTCGAACATCTACAAAATGGTATAATTACCCATTTTTAACGGATTTTTACCCTTAAAAGGCCACCTAGAATTTTCGGGGGCCTTTTCCTGGCCGAAATTTTCGAAAAGTTAAGTTTTGATCCCTATAATTTTCGGATCATTAGACTTTCAGCTAGGAAATCCGAACAGATGAAAAGTTTTTAGGGGATAAAAATATGCCTATATCTACCGTTTAAATACTAAAATACGTTTAACAATGCTATGTTAAGTGGTTCTGAACTATATCCTCGTTGGGTGCCCCTGATTTAAAGTAGCGCAGGGACCAGACGGGAGATACTTCGTTTCCGTAAAAACGTCCCCACCTCTTAAATTCCCGTCAAGGTCTGCATCCCTCATTTCCTTAAACACGGGAAACAACCGGAATCAGGAATAGAAGAAACTGCATTCTTTGACTATGATCCTCAAGGGAGGACGAAGTTCTACCATGTTGATGACTTGCAAAGTAAACCCTCTCTTTAACTGACTGATGTTGAGCGATGTACCGTCGGAACTTCTCTAAAATGACTCATAACTTGTACATAGGACTATAATTGTCATCGTTAAAAAGTTCAACATCTGTTATTCGTGGGTATTGTTCAGTTTGGCAGGCAATGTTTGGGATTGAATTTTATCGTTCCATTCTCATTCCTGGTGTCCCTACAGTAAGTTGGCAATAGTCTGTCTGTTTTTTTTTAGTTTGTACAATTTGATTCCAAATTAAAAGGACTTCCTTCGACTGTTAAAACTATTTATAGTGGTCTCGTATCTCATGTAAGGTTAGTCAATTCACATATTTTCATAATTAAGCGATGTATCGTCTCTAATCCCTGACAAGACGTTAGCAAAAACTTTCATTGGACTCAGCTCTATGGACTGATCCATCATTCACTTTGCATCGTTCAAAACGGAAGCAATGTTGTATTATTATGACTGTATGTATATGTGGAATCTTAAAAAGTGAAATTTCCAAATACGTTACAAGAAGGTTCCCCTACACATGTTCAGTTTGGTAACTAGTCCAACCAACCAAAACAACCAAAAATGGGAAAACAAATAAGAAGGATTTTACTGTTTTATTTTCAAGCCGACTTTTCATGGACGCATTTTATTGTTAAAAGTATTGTTTTGATGTTTAGCTTTAATGCATGCTCTTTAGTTTTATAGAAAGCCAGTTCTACTTTCGGCTTGGATGGTGGATGCAGCCTAGGGCAGCCTCTTGCAGACAAGACCACAGGGAAAGACGCGATTTAAGCAGGGACGATCATTCCAATAACCACTAGATCCGCCGTCATGTCCAGCCCACATGTTACTGCATGGTTCTGATGCTTGTCCGTTCGGTTCACCAGGGTTCCAGTTGGTGTATTTTGGAAGCGCGTTGTCAGCCCAGATAAACTTGCTCAGGCGTGCGTCCCACTTTAGTCCGATCCAAACCTGTTTCTTCGACGGGGCGTGTTTATAAACCAAGTTCAGAACAAACTCGTTTTCTTCATCGCTGTGGATCTTCACAAGATCTCCGCCTTTGCTTTTGCAGTACGTTCGAGCAGCTTGCCAACTTTTGACTGCGCTACTCACAAAGTAACAGTAGCTTTTGAAATGCGTCCAACCACTGGGGCAGGGACCTATATAATTGGTGATGAAAAAATGGAATTGGTTATAGCCTGTTACTGTACTACAAAGTACAAAAATTGTGATCTGAAAATACAAAAATAAATATACTGGAAAATGAAGAAAATGAGTCAGTTCCTTACTAATTATTCGAAAAGCGGTATCAGTGGCATCTCTCTTGTGCTTATCATCTGAGCGAGCTGAAAAAGAAATTAAACCTACAATTAAAAAAAGCTTTGTGAGAAAAAATTTTCTTCTAATGTGTCGATAAATTACCCTTTTCAGTGCATGAGTTACAAATGTCTTCCAACCCGTTATTTCAAGGGAGGCTGACTACACCCATCCCAGTGAGCGCGTGATTTTGTTGTGTGTCATCCGCGTCGCAAGTATCGTTTTTTAAATTTCGTAAAATCAAAAGCGTAGACATATAAACCAGTGTACGTATTGTCCGGACGTATACGTACTGTTGTCATTTGAATCACTCAGATTTTTTGCACTTATCCGGGCTTCTGAGGCATAAGATTCTGCCTTTACTAGGGAGGCGTAAAGCGGCCCGGCTTGCATGCTTCAATTGTAGCAATTTTTGTGGTTATATCGTTGAGTTTGAAAGCCAGATTTAATGAATTTTTTACTCTGATCTGGACCTGAAGTACTCAATTTTCAATCTTTGAAAACTTGGTCATTTCTCTCTTGCTTGGAGTGAGCTTTGCGTGTTTCAAAATATAACCAAGAAAGCAAAAGAGACCAGCCTATTCAAACCGGGCGGCATCAACACCGAATTGATTTTTACGACTGACTTACGCATACCTGCAGTGACACATAAGAGCGCAACGAAAAGTGGTACAGTAATAACCAGTTTCATCTCAGTTCAAAGTCTCAGGGCTGGACTGTATCTCTGATGTGTGATGTTAGCGGGACCTTCTTTCTTACAGTCCTCAAATTGATGATTGATAGAAAATCTTGGTGAAGCTGATTTAATTGTCAACATCCCTCTGAACAAGATAAAACAAGATCAAGCTAGGAAGTAAACATAACGTAGTATCGTTGAAAATTATAGGCGGATTGCTATAATTTTAGTTTTAAAGATCTCACAGTCTTGCTTTCAACGATAGCGGAATAATTTCGCTAACATTTCTGAAACGAAAAATTGCAAGTAACCCATAGCTCTTTTGCCAAAACCTTTCGGTACGATGTCTTTTTTGTACATTTTTATATCACATATGCACTCCATAAGACTGCCTTGGATAACTTGACATAAATTCATTTTGCTTAATGATGTTTCACTAAAGAATCTTGTTTATGTAGGGAGATGAGAGGCTGAAAGGTCCAACGACTTCCGTCTAAACCCTTATTTACAATAGGAAGTTCTTTCCCTGACAAATTTTCTTTGATTAGAGTATAGATAGCAGATTTTTTTTTAAAATTAAGGCAAATATAATTATGGACAACACTATGGATAGCCACCTTCTCCTTTTTAGCAGTCAGACATTTAGTAACATAAGAAATGTCAACACATCAGTGTAAATAAAGGTTCGACTGAAAATACCCTATTTCTCGAATAAGCGGTCCCTTTACCACCACTTTCTTAAATACCACCAGAAGCGCTTGTATACTTCTTGTAGTACTCACAAAGAAGGTGTCTTCCCACATTTATTATTTCTTTAACTTAAACTGCACCAACAATAATAAAGGAGAATAGTCTTTTGTGTATCACTTCGTGTGGTACTCATTTATTGATTTGTTTATTAAAATATTTTAACCTGAAAATTTATGGTTAGTCAAAAAATCATGCATTTAGCGCCCTCATCGAATAGCTGTTGGCAAGAGAGGATAAAGCTCTTTATCCTCTCTTGTTGTTGGTAGAAGCGTCCCCTTTTAGGCAAAAATCATTCAAGGAAACACGGAAGTACAGAATAGCGTACAACTATAATCGCCATATATGTTCACAGGTAGATTAAGCGTTAGCAAGGCCTTCCGGTACGAGAAAAGGTAAAAGGAACACGGAGTAAGCCGAGGGGAACTAAGGAGTTTAAAGGGGCAGGAAGACCTGTGAACAAAATGTTGATGAGTTGATGCGGCCTGAATATCTAGCACAATCTAGTATATTATTTGGACAGATCAATTGGCAAGAGCCATAATGGGTGATGTTTGCTAACAAGTTTGACAATGCTCCTGTATGGAAATAAAGGCCAACCTCTATTGAAGCAAAATAAGTAAATATCGTCACATATACATCGTCTCAGGGGGATCCTCAAGGGAAGTTTGGGGGTTTGAGGTGTTCCACCCAGAGGCCTTCAACCCCTGATCCTGTCTAAGTCAGATCCCGAATCATTTCGTTCCGTATATACAACGAAAGTAATTTTTTAACTGCCATCATGGAATTAGTTTTCTTTTTTTGGAAAAAGAAACTTAGCTTGGTATTACAAATGAAGACCTTAGTATAGCCATCCTTCACACCCTTTTAAAGGCTTCCCCGGTGCAAAAAGACACTCTGTCCAAGACGCTAAATAGCGAAATTGTATACCCTGTTTAAGACTTAAGACCGTGAAAACCATACCTTGTTCAGCAGCACATACCCGTTTAAGCTCTTCGCTGAGAGCTTAAGCCCCGTGCAAACGGACGCAACATTGTTGGCCAACAACTCCCAATATTGTTGGATGCTAAGTGTTTGCACACGTTGTTGCATGTTGTTGCGGGTTGTTGGGAGTTTTTGTTTTGTTGTTGGGAGTTGTTTGTTTAATCAGACTGTCGTCATTGCTGACGACTTAAATATGGACAGGCTTAGACCTGGAAGCGCAGACGGGAAGATTCTTGAGGATCTCGAAGAAGTTAACAGCTTCCAATGCCTGACAACTGAACTAACAAGAATCATAAACTCTATTGGACGTTTTACGTACAAATACTACTGAGCACTTTGAAAAATGAGGAACGTACGACCCTGGCCTAAATGATCACTGCATGGTCTACGGAGAAATGAGTGAGAAAATTCGAAAGGGTAGACCGAAGGTACTTACCTTCAGGCAAATGAAAAACACTGATTTTGGTCAGCTTAACAATCTTTAAGATGCACTGTGGCAGATGACCAGTATGATTACTGGTACGCTCTCTTTGGGAGCATAGCGCAGGACCACGCCCCCCTCAAGAGGAAACGTGTGCGTGATAAGGACGTACCCTACATGACTTTAACTTGGAGAAAGGCGATAACGAACAAGACACTCAGTCTGCGAACAACCGAACACCCGAGAATTTGGAACTCAAAAGAAAGTATACGAATATTGCAACGCGGGAAAGCAGAAAGATTGTAATATCATTTTGGTTTGCTAAATCAAAGGAGCTCAAATCCAACCAAGGGAGTGTTTTTAATACCTTTAGGCTGTTCATTAGTAGCAAAACGAAAGATTCCAACATGATATGCCTGCAATCCGAAGGGTGCAGAGTTGAAGGTCAAATTGAAGTGGCTGAGCAATTAGCCAACTATTTCACCACCGCAGCTAACAGTATTGCGGAGGACCATGTCACCAGCATAAGAGAAGAAAACCTTGACAATCATTGCAGTATTAATGCTATAAGAGAAGCTAGCCTGCGTTGCATGGCGATTTTGTCAAGCCGGGCGCACGAGTGGCGTAGCCGCGAAATTCGCGCGCGAAGCGCACGAGAACGAGCGGCAAAGCCGTGAGAAAAGGTTTTTCAAGTTGCTCTCGCCCCAATCTTTTTGCGGTTTCTCTGCCCTCGCCCGCCTTTATTACTTAGCGCGCCCAAACAAAACCGCCATGCTACGCAGGCTAGTACGAGGTGCAAAAGGCGCTGGAAAGTAACAAGGCTAACAAGTCCTGTGGATGGGACCCCAGAGCATGCACCATCAAAACTCCTTGAAAGTGAGACAGTAAAATTGGGCCATCACTAACAACGCCTTACAACAGCTGAATTGTATTGGGGAAATGGCTTGTGCGTGGAAAATGGGAGGATGGACGCCAGTATTTAAAAGTGGGGACAGACTCGAGTAGAAGAACTATCGTCCAATCACATCTCTTGTTACTGTCAATAAGAAATTTGAATAGTTGCTTAGTAAACAAATCACTGGTCAACATGATCTAACTCTTCATCAGAGAACGACACCGTATAAAACTCACCATAGCTGTCTGACCACTATGCTTAGTTTAGTAAAAGATTGGAAATCAGCTGTCGACAGTTAAGGAACTCGCATCTATCCTGACTACCGATATGAGTAAAGCCTTTAGGCTGTTCATTAGTAAAGCCACGGGCAGGAACGCGTGACGAACCCCCAAGAACGTGTGCATGGGAGGCTAACAATGGTCAGCTGTACCTAAACTTGGTAATAAAACATTATTGGCTGCACGCTCATTCAACTATACAATGCGTTCAATTATATGTATAAATCAACCCTTTTTCATAACATACTCATGCAGTGGGACTTTTTGTGCTAGGAGTTAACGACATTCTGCAATATTGTCATATTTTCTTATGTTTTGATCATTTCTCATATTTAAAATGTTCATAGATCACTCGTCAGATAGAAATAACTATAACTTATAGTCAGTTGTATAGTTTAAGCTGTAATATCACCATCTGGACACCAGCGTTCTTCGTCTATCAAAACGTCGTTACACATAAATATCTTCTGTGAAAGACGTTAATACAAGGATTTACACAGTGCCCTGACGGCCTGTGAAATCCAGGCTGCTCAGCATACGATTTTTATGAAAAAAAAACTTAGATTCCCTGGTCACATAAGAGCAAACGTAAGACGCCATGCCGTCTGGGACATTCGTTGTGTAAGGGGTATATCAATTAAACATTTACGAATTCTCAAGCCAAAAACCAACTTTGCTAATGTGGACACTCAAGAGAGCTCTCTTGGGACACTTCATTGTCCAGCTTGTGCCGTAATAGACCCGTTCTAGTTTGAAGGTCAAAAAAATATACGGTAGTTTGACTTAACCTAGTCTGCTACACAGCCGTTTTTAGGGTCGTCACGCAATGGAGGAGCGTTGCGTGACGACACTAAAAACGGCTGTGTAGCAGACTAGACTTAACCATCATTGCGAATTATTTCCTCGAAGGTTTAAGCTTTAGGTTATGATTGACTAGAAAGCACCTGCATTGGTGTAGACATCACATGGAAATCAAATGGGAAGAGTTGGCTGATAGTTCTCATTTTTAGTTTTATTTCATTTTTAGTTTTAGTTTTTTTAAGTTCTCGTTTTTCATTTTCAGTTCTAAATTTTAGTTTTCCAAGAGGTTTCGTCTTTTACTATAAGGCATTTTGAAATAACTGGTGATCCCTGTACTCTGATTGGTTCTCACCAGTGTGATTTATTCACGAATCACACTTCAGTTTTTTGCCATAAATCACATCTGTTCTAAATGGCCTCATTCATGTTCTAAAGAACATCATTTCTGTTTTAAATCGCACCATTTTTGCTCTCACATCGCATCATTTCTGTCTCATAGAAAAAATGAGATGTGAAGCCATTTTGTTTCCCCTTTTCAACGAGATCTGCTACTAGATCAATATTATAATTGTACTGACTGAATTCTGTGAATTCTGCGATTTCAAAATGGCTGTAATAAAGTGGTAATTGAACTTCGTGACGTGCAATTGTGGACTTGTGGTTTCAAATCGAGCTCGCCGCGTTGCGGCTTCGTTCAATTTTTAAATCACGCGTATGATTTCAGATCAAATTGCACTGCACTCAGTTTAATTACTCTTATTAACCACTTCTGTGTATGAGTAGGCTGAAAAAGTTCTGGTGACATTAAGTTGTGTTAAAAATAGACAGTCTAACATTCACACCGAGGAAAAGTTGATATCCATTTCGCTATAAGAGAAGTACTTGACCCAACCTAACTGTATCGTATGCTTAAAACTAAAGAAAAAACAAAAACTCGCTTTAATATTTGCTAGGTTGGTGAGCAAACTGAGAAAACTGGAGTGAATAAATGATTAATAATTGAATTAATAGCATTGTATTCATCTTAGCACCAGAAGAGGAGGAACAGATTTCATTGGTGTCAAATACGACAGATGAGATAGTTGATTGACTCATTTCATCGTTTTTTATCTGCTTGTGAAAACTGAAATAGATGAGATAATCAGTCAAGGGATTAAGAAACCATCATGCAGTGATCTTTTAGCAGATGAAAATAATTCAATGGTGGAACTAGAGAAGCCATCCACGTTGCTGCCTCCCCTTATTTTTTAAAGTAGCGCAGGGACCAGACCGGAGATACTTCGTTGCCGTAAAAACGTCCCCACCTCTTAAATTCCCGTCAAGGTCTACATCCCCCGTTTCCTTGAACACAGGAAACAACCGGAATCAGGGATAGTAGAAATTGCATTCTTCGACTATGATCCTCAAGGGAGGACGAAGCTCTACCATGTTGATGACTTGCAAAGTAAACCCTCTTTTTAACTGACTGATGTTGAGCGATGTACCGTCGGAACGTGTCTAAAATGACTCATAACTTGTACATAGGACTATAATTGTCATCGTTAAAAAGTTTAACATCTGTTATTCTCAGGAATTGTTCAGTTTGACAGGCAATGTTTGTGATTGAATTTTATCGTTCCATTGTCATTCCTGGTGTCCTTACAGTAAGTTGCCAAAAGTCTGTCTGTTTTGTTTTAGTTTGCACAATTTGATTCCAAATTAAAACGACTTCCTTCGACTGTTAAAACTATTTATAGTGGTCTCCTTATCCCATGTGAAGTTATTCAATTCGCATATTTTCATAAAACGATGTATCATCTCTAATCCTTGACAAGACATTAGCAAAAACTTTCATTAGACTCAGTTTTATGGACTGATCCATCATTCCGGCACTTTGCATTGTTCAAAACTGAAGCCATGTTGTATTATTATGACTGTATGTACATGTGGAATCTTAAAAAGTGAAATTTCCAAATACGTTACAAGAAGGTTCCCCTACACATGTTCAATTTGTTAACTAGTCCAACCAACCAAAACAACCAAAAATGGGAAAACAAATAAGAAGGATTTTACTATTTTATTTTCAAGCCGACTTTACATGATGTTTAGCTTTAGTGCTCTTTAGTTTTATAGAAAGCCAGTTCTACCTTCGGCTAGGATGTTGGATACAGCCTAGGGCAGCCTCTTGCAGACAAGACCACAGTCGCGATTTAAGCAGCGAAGATCATTCCAATAACCATTAGCTCCATAGGCCTGTCCAGTCCACATGTTGCTGCATGGTTCTGATGCTTTTCCGTTCGGTTCACCATGTTGCCAGTTGGTGTATTTTGGAAGCGCGTTGTCAGCCCATACAAACTTGCTCACTTGTGCGTCCCACTTCAGTCCGATCCAAACCTGTTTCTTCGACGGGGCGTGTTTATAAACCAAGTTCAGAACAAACTCGTTTTCTTCATCGCTGTGGATCTTCACAAGATCTCCGCCTTTGCTTTTGCAGTACGTTCGAGCAGCTTGCCAACTTTTGACTGCGCTACTCACAAAGTAACAGTAGCTTTTGAAATGCGTCCAACCACTGGGGCAGGGACCTATATAATTGGTGATGAAAAAATGGAATTGGTTATTGCCTGTTACTGTACTACAAAATACAAAAGTTGTGATCTGAAAATACAAAAGTAAAAATACCGGAAAATGAAGAAAATGAGTCAGTTCCTTACCAGTTATTCGAAAAGCGATATCAGTGGCATCTCTCTTGTGTTTATTATCTGACCGAGCTGAAAAAGAAATTAAACCCACAATTAAAAAAAACCTCGTGAGAAAAAATTTTCTTCTAATGTGTCGATAAATTACCCTTTTCAGTGCATGAGTTACAAATCTCTTCCAACCTGTTATTTCAAGGAACGTTGACTACAACCATCCCAGTGAGCGCGTGATTTTGTTGTGTGTCATCCGCGTTGCGAGTATCGTTTTTTGAATTTCGTAAAATCAAAAGCGTAGACAGATAAACCAGTGTATATTGTCCAGACCTATACGTACTTTTGTCATTTGAATCACTCAGATTTTTTCCACGTAGCCGGGCTTCTGAGGCATAAGATTCTGCCTTTACTAGGGAGACGTAAAGCGACCCGGCCTGCATGCTTCAATTGTCGCAATTTTTGTGTTTATATCGTTGAGTTTGAAAGCCAGATTTAATGAATTTTTTACTCTGATCTTGACCTGAAGTACTCAATTTTACTCTATGAAAACTTGGTCATTTCTCTCTTGCTTGGAGTGAGCTTTGCGTGTTTCAGAATATAACCAAGAAAGCAAAAGAGACCAGCCTATACAATCCGGGCTCTGGTAAAATTTTAGAGAAGCGGCATCGAGATTTGAAGACCGAATTGATTTTTACGACTGACTTACGCATACCTGCAGTGATACATAAGAGCGCAACGAAAAGCGGTACAATAATAACCAGTTTCATCTCAGTTTCAAGTCACAGGGGGCGCTTTCCATTTAGTCAAAATTTCCGGAATTTCCGGTTCGGCGGTAAATGGAACACGTTTCGTCGGTTCGTCCCACTGGAAAATTCCCAGAAAAAGTGGAAAATCTAAAAAGGTGGTCCCGTTTTCCCGGTTGGAATTTCCGAACGGAACGTCGTGTTCCGTTTACGTTTCTTGTAGTTTGTACCAGTTCCAGGTCCACGGTCGGGCACTCGGCCACGTACCAGGGTTTACGACCAAATGGAACAACTTTTTACCAATCGGAAATTCCACTTTTGCTACCACCGAAATTTCCGGGTTTTTTTCGTAAATGGAAAGCGCCCAGGGTGTGTGGTGTTAGCGGGTCGTTCTCTCTTACCGTCCTAAAATTGATGACTCAAAGAAAATCTTGGTGAAGCTGATTTAAGTGTCAACATCCCTCTAAACAAGATAAAACAAGATCAAGTTAGGGAAGTAAACATGACGCAGTATCGTTGAAAATCAGGCGGATTGCTATAATTTTAGTTTTAAAGATCTCGCAGTCTTGCTTTCAACGATAGCGGAATAATTTCGCTACCATTTCTCAAACTAAAAATGGCAGGTAGCCCATAGCTCTTTTGCCAAAAACCTTTCGGTGCGATGAATTTTTTGTACATTTTTATATCACATATGCACTCGAAAAAGACTGCCTTGGATGACTTAACATAAAATTAATTCATTTTGCATAATAATGTTTCACTAAAGAATCTTGTTTATTTTGGGAGATAGAAGGTTAAAAGGTCAAACGACTGATAGCAGCCTAAAGGCTCGGGAAATTATAAGGATTTGGACAAACAGGGGCGTAGCGTGGGATTTTGAATATGTACGCACGAGAATAAATTTTTCGTAAGCGCCTTCAGTAGGGGGGCCTGGGGGCATGCTTCCCCAGAAAATTTTGAAATTTAGGGTCTCGGAAATGCCATCTCCTGGTTTTTCTGCGGGGCATTTTCAATAAAAAATGCGGCAAAAATGGAGTAGACAGGTGTACAAAAACAATGAAGACAGGTCACAAGCAAAGGGCGAGGCGTCGACCCTTAAGACGGGCAACTCCGTTACCAACCTGTCAATCCACGTTCTTATGTTGATGTATATGAGGGATTGCTAGGGAGCTTAATCTTTCGTCCGTCATCGTACTTCGCAGAGGAGATTTTAGTCTCTTCATACTACTGAAGCTACGTTCGGCAGTGCATGTAGACGTCGTTTAGTTGTCTTGTTAATTACGTTGAAGTAATCGTGTATCGATTTTCGAGCCATATGTGTGTACTTTGTCTCACGAAACACACGAAAACACTACAGAAGCCAGTGATCACGCTCCTCAAGTCGCAGAAATATTCATAGGATTCTCTAACAGTTTCTTCGGAAAATCAATCCCTGGGGCTTCACTGTTTGACCTCACAAGTATATTCCTAATATCCGTTGACGGCAAA